AAAGCTGTAAAGACGGGGCCAGTGTCAATATCATCTGAGGGAAACTGATCCACATATTGTGGATTAATGGACATTTATCTGACTATGATGTAGCCATGCAAAATATACAACTGTGATTTTATCACTGAATTGTTATAAACCCTTTTTAATGTGAATATCTGTCGTTTGACTGTTGTCCTTTCGCGAACACATGCATTTATGTGGACTGCTTGTATCTCTCTTATTTATCATTTCGAGGACATTTTATAGTTAATGAAATTGATAGGCAACGTAGTAATATTTGTGCGTAATGCGTCATAATCGTAAACCGTTATAATTTTTTCAGTGCATCATAAGGCCTAGCATGAAATGTTTCAGTTACATTTAATCCGGTTGCACAGTTTAAGTATGCATTGGTGTTAAGAAGAAAAGAGCATCAAACATGTGTTTGTATAGTAACGACGAAATATAGTAACCCTTTTGTAAAATACTGTCAAAGTCGTGGGCCATTATAGGTCCTTATGTGCGTGCAACATTTCAGCTACATTCAATCCGACTGCGTGAAAGATTACTTTTCAACAGGGCTAGCGAAAATTTATACGTTGAGCTTATGTTTGCTATGCGATTACTACATATACATAATAACAAATGTAGGACGGCTGCATACATCGAAAATAAGGTATTATAGGTATGTCCTATTGAAGATGATTATCCTGGCTTTCTTGTACTGCGCAAATTATCACTCTTTCTAATTAAACCACTAAGCATTCCAGAACGGGCAATATCTTTATTCCTTCGATAGGCAAAGGGAAATAGTAGTGCAAGAATACCGTTGAAACTTTCAGGAAATATTTATTTTGATAAATAACTTTATGATATCATAAAGATTCCAACGTCAACAGGCAAATTCTTCAATTGCGCTTCATCAGAGCCCCCAAAAAAGTGAACCATTGCGTAAATTACAACTGTAACTTGCAAATCAACAACAGTACAACATCCGTTACAAAATAACTAGCAATACAGAGATGCTACAAACCAAAGTAACTTTTGGGAAAGCTTTGTTTATTCACTGCTACCTTACGAATAAATCAACTCGCTCTCCTTTAAAGCTGTAAAATCTCGTGACTGTTACCAAGTTTTCATAACTCAGAGATTCAAGACACCACTTCAGCATTTCGCAAAATATACTTCATTCACCTAATTTATTTCGTTTTTATCACAATAATTAACAATTTACGGAGAATTTTAACATTCCTCATGCATAGGAACAACGATGCAGATACAGATACAAAATACTGAAAACGCCTGCTTTCCACCAGTTTTCCACGTTTTTTCGTTATGTTGTGGCATTTATAATGGATTTCAGGCGAAAAAACGCCTTAAAGCAACATAGAACAACCCAAACACAACGTCGCGACAACACCTAACCCCACCCGGTGTCAAAGTAGTTGAAGATTGAACGATCAATTCACGGTTGTTTGCCAAAAACCCAACTCTCTACTTTTCGCAGGAGTCATTAATACGACAGTCATCGTCTCATCATTCGCTGTTCAGTGGAAGATAGAAAACTGTCAGGAGTATTATCGTGATTCATTGTTATAACATTTATTCTTAGACCTTGTGTGTAATAACCTTATTGTCGGTGACATATTGGCATAAGAATAAAGGATTCTCGAGTCGTCAATCTGTGTTCTGGTTTTACGCGTTGGTTACTACAAATTGTTTCTGAAAGTCTTCTCGGGACAGTGTGAGGTCCAGTATGGTAAGAGCTGGATATTGACAGGTTCTGAGAGTTGGCTGACACCCGGTATGTACCGCTATCCATTGCCCACCTTCTAATAATGCCACATTTTAATTCCCTCGCAAAGTTGACTGACTACACGTATATTAACGATTAAAATTTAGACTTAAACAAATATCTTATAACTTATTCGATTAAATGTATACACTACAAACTTTTTATATCATTTCCAGGATGTTTTTCATTTTTCATATATTTATGTCATAAAACAGTGTTCAATCTAAAATTATTATAGTCAAATATGACCACGCCTGCGCAGACGGCACATCAATCATGTTGTCAGCCACGTCTCGTAAACCGTCAATGCCCAGCTCTTGCTACGCTGGGACTCACGCTGTTCCTTGAAGTTTCTCAGAAACCCTTAGTAATAACGGACGCAAAAACCAAAACACCGATTGGCCACTCGAGAATTCTTTATTGTAACACTAACATATAGCCAACTTTAAAATTAAGCTTTAAAACTAAGGTCTATGAACAAATATTACAATAATAAATCACAGTATTACTTCTAACGGTTTTGTCCTGACTTCTTTCTGAACAGCGACCGATGAGACGATGACTGGTGTATTGATGCCTGCGCGAAAATTGGGGAAGTTGGTTTTGAGCAAACAACGATGAATTGATCGTTCAATCTTCAACTACATTGACACATGTAAATGCTTAATTTATGTTGATAAAATATGGTCATTACATCTCACAACTAACATCTATTAATCTGTAGCTTTGAAGATTTTTAACCTTTTATTCCCCCTGTCTATGCTGAAAACTGAAAGTCGTCCACTGAAACTTCCATAACTGCTGGTGTTAGTTTTGTTTCTGAGTCAGCCGCACGTGGTGGTCATTCAAGAGTCTCTTGAAGTGATCGACCTAATGTTACCTGTGTTCCCTCTTCCCGGCAGTTAGGTCTGCTTTGCTATTGTCGCCGGCTTCATGTGAGTTGATCTGGTTGTAAAACACAGTTTTCCAAAATTTCTCTTGCCTGCTGTATGTTCTGTTTCAGTTGACATTGTCACCAAAGCCTCCTTATTCTTCATCAGCATTTGTAGTGGACCGCTAGTCCGGTAAGCTTTAGGCTATAATCAGGCTTCCATTCCTCTGCTAATTCTGGCGTTGGTTTGTCTTCTATCCCACTATCTTTTCTATCAGATTCTTCTGAATACATTAGAACTGATCATAGATTTTCCTCGAAAGATAGTGGATTGAACATATATCTTACACATCAACCTGTTTTTCGGTGTACCTGCCCTGTGGAGCCCAAATCACTACGTATACATCCTCATCATTGAACCCACTGCTTCCAATCAACAAGAGATTTAGGGCCTAGAGGTCCGCAATTAGCTCTCTACTCTTACTCATGGATTTTACGTAGCATGGGCATTGCTTTTTACGTGATTTGGTGACACATCCCACTCATAACCTAATTTTTTTATTCCTTCACGTTCTTAGTGGAACATGGAGCTTCATGCTCATAATCATATCAAGTCACTCGAGCAACTTGATACGATTATGAGCCACAGTTTGTGCTCGAAACGTCATCAGTAAATGTTACTGCACAACACTGTGATTTGTCAAAATAAAATCTTATCTATAATGGGGTTATACTCTGCCGCAGTGCCCAAGTTTTATACTCATTTCAATAATACATTCACATTTTTATTGAAGCATCACTAGTTGTTTGCGGATATTTTTGGCATATCGAATCACGCATAAAGTATTTAAGAGGAAAGATGCATTGGAAAAGACAAGATCCTGAAGTTACAGAGGCAGCGCACGTTAATTGAAGCTTTGTAACGTTGTCCTGTTGGGCGGCATCCAATATCTATTATCTTTTCTTCGAACTAGTATAAACCGATTTAATTTCTTTGTGCTAGCCTCTTGATTGTGAGGTATAGGTCCCTGCGGACCTGATCTTCGGTAAACTTCTGCGTAGCTCGTCCCGCCACTCGAATTTCGTAGCTTTGGTTGACCCTAAAAGGATTAGTGCTGGGATTAATCATATGTGGTTTGTAGCATGAGGTGTGTTAAGACTGTTACTACTATGAATGGAGCTAATCCTTTCTCCAGGTAGTCCTCCGGTATCGTCACCAAAAGAAAGGAGATAGCCATAATGGATATAATTAGTGAAGTTATTCAGACCAACAGACAGAAAATGAAAATTTGGACGCAGTCCTTGTGTCGCTGCATGATTGTCCAACGTTCGCTTAAAGGTGTCCACAGACGGTGCCATGGCTACATCTGCCGGTAAGAAATTTCAGGGACGGCAAACTCGCAGTGAAAAGAAGTGGGAGCGCACCCGGATCCCAGCTCTCAACAAGGAAGCCTAACCTACTTAATAGCAGAACACCTTTGTTTGGGTGATTCTGGTCATTTGTTATTTTGTGGGCAGTAATCAAATCCCCCCTAAGCCGACGGTAGCTAAGTGTGAATAGGCCTGATTTCTTTAGCCTTTCATCATATAGTTTATTTCGGAGACCAAGCACTTCTTTTTCTCACCCATCTTCGGACTCTTGCAAAGAGGTTGGCGTCTCTTCTAAGCTGTGGGGTGTAATAATATTATGCAATTCAAGGTGCTGTCCGACGTATGTTTTGTACATCCTTAGAAAAAGCTCAGGAGTGAGTGCACCTAACTATCTATGTGTAACATGTATGACTGCATATGCCCTCGTGTAATTTATTATTATGTCCATTTTTTCCGTTATAACTAGACCTAGGTGTCCGGCGTTGTGCAAGACAAGCTTTCATTGCACAGGATGTAATTTGCATCCCGCAGTCTATAGGTACGTATTTTCACCATTTTGCGCTTTTTCAGGTTGAAAGTCATGCTACTGGCCACCGCCCAGTATTCCAGAAGCCTTAGATCTGCCTGTCTGAATCTTCCTGGCACTTTATCGCCTTCCACATCTTTACGTCGTCAGCGTATAGAAGAGTCAAGCAGCTTTGAAGACATGGTAGATAGTTGATAAAAATCAAAAAACATCAGTGGTTTTAGGATAGAACCCTGCGACACTCCTAATGACTAGCTGTGTCAGAATGATAGGACTCGATTGACCTTAGTGCAAAATCGCCTTTCACCAATATAGAGACCATTGATTAGTCTATTAACCATGTTGAATGGTTGTCTTTTAAAAGTGGAACAATAAGTTCCAGGTTATGAAGAGAGATTTCAACGTTTTCACTGTACTAGGAACTATGTTTAATTTGTTTTTGTTTTCCGGTGTTATAACAACAAACAGCGAATATTTAAACAAGCCACAAATGAGTCAACCCCCGCCTGGTTTACCGTTCTATCCTCTTGCAAACCCTAAAGGTGTAGAATACAGCTGTGAGATCTGCTCGAAACCAGCTTACCTACAGTGTTCCCTATGCCGCGTCACATATTATTGGTTTGGTTATCCTTACACGAAATTATTTTTACATTTAGCGGCACTGAACACCAAAAAATTGACTGGGTAGGCATACATGAAAAAATATGTGCAGATCTAATGTCGCTCCGAAAACCGGCCCCGTTTATTGTTTCAACAGATGAGAGGAAAAAGAAAAAAGAAGAAATTCAAGACAAAAACGTATGTTTTTCTTTTAGACGAATTCCACACCTCAGAAGATTTCGGAGGTCTATTAAGCAAACTGTATAAGTTGTGTAGTGTCTACCCCTCACATTATGTGGTTCAGAGATGCATCGATGACGTGATTCGATCTATTTATATTTCATGTGAACCTTTTATTCCTTGATATTTAAGAAACTTATAGATTTTGGTCGAATTCCCTCGCTAACGTTTGAGTAGTGAAAAGACGGAAAATGAACTGGTGAAATGTATTTAAGGCACAATAGAATAAATATATATTGGAGGGAAATAAGCAGACGAAAAAGAAATTATGAAAACTCTAAATAAGGAGATGGTGTTGCGTGGACTACTGCAATTGTGGAACAGGTGCTTTCAGTTTGCCTGTTCCCGCAGCAGAGACACGTATTCCATAGGAGTTTGCATAATAGCCGAACGCCATGATGCAGTCGATGACGAAGAGATATTCAATTTATCTGGAAAATATTAAGGAAGAACTAGTCAGTAACTGACAGGTTGTGGTGCAGGTTGTACATTAGAGTCAGACAGTCTTATTTGAATCTAGAATATATTCATGCAAAGTGTTTCTATGGCTTTGCAAAAAGATACACGTGTGGTAACTGTATTCAACAAATCTTTAGCTGTTTGACTTTAATCCAAACTGAAGATTTTGAATTCCAGGTTGCATTCACTCTCTGAGTTATTAAGTAAGTTGTAGAATTCCACCGGTCTTAATTTACTGATCGTTTCTATAGCTAATGATAGTGATTAGGCAAAAGATATTTCTGCAAATACTAGTGGTCTCAATCAGATCGGAAATCGACATAAATGGAACGATTATCAAATATTTAAACTGTATTAAGATCTACTGCTACTTCGAGTTCGTGGAACGAGAAACATTTTATCAATAGCTGTAAATGGTACACCATCAATTCTCCTCTAACTGTGTTCAAACGGTGATCAAATGAGGTCTAATCGTCATATGCTGTTCCATTAACAACGATCTTTAACTACATTCAATCGGTCATTAGTTATTCTCCTTTCTTGATAACTGTACAGTTTTCTTTGCCGCACGCCTGTTCTCAACAACTTATGTATTCGCTTATACATTCACTTAGCTTTCCTTTCATTTCGTTGAAATTTACGGCATGTTTCCTTATTCGCAATTATTACCTCGTTTCCTCTGGTCACACCGAACTGCTAACACAAGCTAGAACAGGTTCACGGTCTTCCAAAGACCACAATGTACTACTTAATTTAGAAAAGCGCCCACCAGCATAGAATTAGTAAGTGAGTGGCGGAACGGACAAGTAGAAATCCTGTGAATATCAAGAGCTATTTCCTCAGTATCATGCAGCAGGAAAGACATAGAAAACTCAGTTTATAACTGGTTACCGACTACAGAATGTCTCATGTAGTCTCACCCTTTGCTTCGTAACACAGGAATTCCCTATCTAAGTGTACATAGTACATTCAGAATATGTCATAAACTTTGAGTCACATTTTGTCCAATTGAAGCAGCCACAAAATCCCCGAACCCACTTGAGGAGACATTTTCCTTCACTAGGTATAAAAAAGGCAACACAGGAAAATGTTACGCAATTTCCCCCTAAACACAAGTGCATTTGTTGGTATCAGTACAATATAAAACCATTACTTACCCAGCTGGGTGCTTCAGAAGCCAAAATAAATGTGCCAGATGCATATTTTTGGCACCTAGTTTTTCCTTCCCTGTTTGTGAGCGGCCGTAGAGATATATTACAGGAAAATTATGTATAATGTCTGTAAATTAGGATATCTTGTGTAAAATCTAAATATATAAATGGGATTTTTTCTTTATTAAAATCTAAAACCCGGAGTTTAGAAAAAGATAATCAGTAATCAAAAACATTGTTTCAAAATTAAAACGCTGAGCCTTTAAATCTACTTATTTTCGCATTCAGCCGTTGGTTAAATGATTCTGCTTATCCTCTTGCTAACCGTGGTTATTTGAAATGCTATACTTCACTATCTTTTCCTTTTGTGTGATTTCTTTAATAAACTGCTCAGTTCGAAGTGATTCTGTAGGCGACTGAATGACATGCTCAAATGAATAGGGTGTTTCGTGTTAGAATTAAAGTACAACTCAAGCAACACGAAATATCTGGACCAGTTTTTTGTGTATTTTCTTTATTTAGGTAGATATGGTCAGTCTTACACAGCTCATCGGCCAAAAGTTATTATTTCAAGGCAAACCAGAAGAAGCTGTGCCAGCAGCACTGCAATGTCTGAAGTTTACAGCAGATGCATATGGACTAGCTAGTGTCGAACTGGTGTCCCCATATCTGATTCTCGCTGAATCCAGTATTGGTAAGCAATTGCCACATCAAATATTTATCACTCTTATTTCTGATTAGTCCAAAAATTACTGACTTTAGGCAGATACATTATAACGCAAGAGTCAATGAATGCCTGACGATAGTTCACTGAGCTAAAACTAGGCACATAAAGTTATTTGACGTGTTGTGATAGAGTTATCTCACAACTAACTGGTCGGTAAAGGCCAGAACTTTCAGTGTGCTTATTGGAAAATAACAGTGATTTAATCTCATCTTTCAGGTCCCTATCTTTCTGAATAAATTTATATCGATGCTTTAAAGTACTGAACATATCCCTGAGGTTTGGTTCTAAATTCGACGATGAAACCAAAGGCATCAAAGTCAGGGGGGTTAATGCTTGCTTAGATTGCCTTATTATCACTAATCTGGTGGAAAATTTCTATTCTTAGTTATTCAGTGTTACTTGACAGTCTTCACAGTAGGCTCAAGTAAGTGCAGTAATTGACGAGAAAAGTGGTCAAAGAACAATTTTCACTGCTCTACCGTAACATTTTGTGGAATAAGACAAACAGATAATGAATGTTACTTGTTTTATACTACGTGTTCCCCTAGAATGGGGTATTTAATCCCCAATTTGTGGCCTAAAGAGACTTCAAAACTCTGAATCTCAAATATATATCTCGTTCAGGATCTCAATGAGTCGAAATAGCAAAGGTAGTAAAACTGTCCCCACGTGTTTCCATGTATGCTATACACTAAAATATATTGAGTAGTGTTATTAAGAGAAAGACAAACATCTGTGCCTATAATAATTAAGTTACTGTTTTACTGATCTAGGCCTCGGTAGACTGAATCAAGCTGAAACATACCTTGCGCAAGCTCAGTGGACAATACTTAAAACGCAACACGAGTGCTCTAATGGTATACGATCACAGTTACATCGTAAACTTGGTTTATTGTACGCTGCTAAGGGCGACTATGAGCTGGCACTAGAAAGCTTAGCCAAAGATGTAAGTGTCGTTCGTTATATTTTTGCTAATTAGTCGTTATTTATATTTTGTGCTTGTAACAGAGACACTATATATATATATATATTTTCAGTGAAATTGAAACTAAATAAACAGGATTCTAGCGCAGTAGAGAGGTGATGGTCCAAATTTAATCAAAATGACGTAGGATATTTCCTATCCCTTGGTTTTGTATTAAACAGAATTTTAAGGGTTGATCATAAAGAGTAATTTCACTTTTTCAGAGGCTTACTTGGAGTTAGAATCAGATGTCAATTAATGACTGCAGAAAACAATGCTAGTCATAAAGTGAGGAAAATTCACCACATTTTCTCACGCATTTCTTTTTGCTATTGACTTCGAAAATTCAAAATCATCTGTATTAATCATTATACTCACATTATATCTGTTTGCTTAGTCTTGCATCAGGCTTTACTGTCCCATGTTATTACACCGTAACTATTATTTACAGATATTCTATGCATCGTGTGAATATGGAACTGATCACATTCGCACAGCAGGTGGTTATTTTCAAATGGCTGAAGTATTTTATGCAATGCATCAAAGGGATAAGAACAATGAAAATCTAATAAATCAGGAGTTGTCTGATAAACCGTCAACATATGTTTATCCATCGGTAACACCGAGATCTCTTGGAGTGGTTTCAACTGGAAAAACTCACGGTTCATTCCTTTGTGAAGAAGCAGCAAAGCATGACGTTAATTTATCAAAAAACTCTGATTTTTCTGTTCAGATGCCTATGTCAAAAGCCCAGTTGCTGATGATTTATATGCACGCGTTGTTAATATATGGGCTGCGTATTTGGGTGAATTGGTTGAAAGTCTGTTGTATAAACCAGTGATACCTGAAGGAATTGGAGCAGTTGTGGCTGAAATAACTCAAGAAACCAAGCAGACTCTAGGTAACAGCTCATTTATAAACTAAAATATCTAACTTGACAATGTCAAACCCAAATCAGTCTCTATTATGGATAAGATTTTATTTTGATAAATCACACAGTGTTGTACAGTGTACATACAACAATGTGCATACTGTGTGATTTGTCAAAATAAAATCTTATGCATAATGGAGTTATGCTCTACCATAGCGCCCAAGTTTTATACTTATACCCAAATCAGTCTCACTGCATCAGTGTTATTCATTCCTTGTCATCTCAGGAATTTCAAGCATTTCCCCTAATATTCATTGAACTCTTTCCTTCGCCCTTACATATAAATGCGGCGAATCAAGATAAAACATTTTTCTGGAGGGCTGTATGCATCTAATGTCACGAAATCCTGAAATATTACGTTTAATGTAAGGAATTATTAGGGATCAAGTAATCAGTATTTTCTAACATTGGGATGTGCATAATTTCAACTGTGTCTTCCAATGTTTTGTGCTTTACTTTATTTGCAACTGGGACGAAAACTTATTATCAAATTTCAGGTTTTCATCAAAATAAAAAACAGATATGTTTGCGGCAGACTGTAGTTATACCTATAAGTTCAAAGGATTTGACATCCTCATCAGTGCTGCAGTTAACTTATAGTAAGTTAGACAAATCCATGAAGATTTCGCCCATTGATTTGATTGACACGTGAAGTACCAGGCTAGCGTCTTTGGTATACTAAGAAACAAAGGCTTGAAAATGTTGGTGATTTGGTTCAAAGTTCTTTTCGGGATCTGTTCACTCCTTATAATTTTCCAGATTTTGAAATCTCACTGATTTTCTCTTAACTATCCTGTCTACCATACAGTTTCATTTCTTTGTTGGTGCGTGCTTTTAAAAAGTTCAGCAAGTTGAGCTGATACACTTTTTTGCAAGTCTCTATATTATTGGTTCACTTCAGATAAAATGAAAAGTCTGAGCACAAAGTGACATTCTTAGAAAGCATAGGATGACTTCCTCACTTACTAAAGTTCGAAATAAAGTTCAGGGCAGGTTTGCCAATTTTTTAAAATAAACTGCTGTTAGATCTTTACCACACTTTCAGCCCATTCTATTCATTTATGGCTAATATCATACATACCAATATCAAGACAAAATTTAAAATATGCCGTGAATAAGTCAATCACCCTGTGCGTCGGTGGCACAGAGGCTATGACGCTCGCCGACCATGCACATGGTCCCCGGATTCGATCCTCAGCCAACGCATTCCTTTACATCCCTAAGACAGAGATAAAGCTCGTAGAGAGAAAAGGTTGGGCATGAGGCTAGCAATCCCATCCTATAAAAATAAACACTGCCACAGTAACTTCAAGCCTTTAGCTTGAAGCCCTATGTTCCACTGGGAACGTGAAGGAATAAAAAAGGTCAATCACCCTAAAGTGGATAACCGCAGGGAGTTGAAAACATCAAGATATTGCCCTTCATAGTGCAAATACTCTTCTTCACAACCATGTGACTGCAAATGCCATAAACCTTACGTGGTACTGATTTCTTTGTCGACATATGATCGACTGAATCTCAAGACATATCAGTAACCTTTTATCTTCATTTATGTTTTACCTAAATAACAGTTAGATGAACATATGAATACCTGGGCAATAGCACTACAGTACCTGACAAATCTGTTTAAGCTTTGGAACTTTTGATATTCTTCGCAGTCAAATGGCTGTGACTCTTCGAAAGTGAGGTATTGAATAAAAGCTACTGGAAAAGTAGAAAGGTAATAAAAATAACTATTGAGAAATGAAGTGAAGAAATCCAGAGTGGTCTCAAGTTATTAAAATAGAAAACAAGCTACAAACGTTAACAAAGCAGGATCTAATGAATTCATAGAATTCCGGTAGAACTCTTCAGCTGAATACTCTGCATATAAGGATATATATATATATATATATATATATATATATATATATATATATATATATATAGTTAGAATTACATTGTTCGATATAAGACTGATAAGTAAATAAAATACATTGAACTAATCATGCGAAACAACAGGTGTGAATATTTTCCAGGTCATGTTCAAATAGATAAGGGGAAGGGAGTAGGAGAGGTAAATCATTATTATTATTATTGCTCCCTTGGGTTCCTAGTGGAACATAGGCTTCAACTGCACGCCTCCATTTGTTTCTGTCTTCTGCTGTACTTTTCACCTGAATCCATGTTAGTCCATACTCTTTCAACTCCTCTTTACACGATCTCCTCCATGTCACCCCTGGACGTCCCACACGCCGCTTTCCTTTCGGGTTCCACTCGAGGGCTTGGCGCGCGATGTCACCCAGCGGTCTCCTCAGCGAGTGTCCGATCCATCTCCACTTTCTCCTGCATATCTGTTGGGCGACTGGTTCTTGCTTTGTTTGTTCCCATAGTTTCTCGTTGGTGATTCTTTCCGGCCCGGCCATCTGATCTTCAGTATAGAGCCAGCGAAGGCAGTTGTTAATCAAGGTCTGGTCTGCAACAGGCTGTTGCAAATATTCTTTGTGACCCGCCCGCCATGTTTCTGATCCGTATAGAAGAACTGTCTGACTTGACGCTTGTATTGAAAATCCGACCGACCGAATTTTGTTGTTGTTGATTCTGGCTGAGTGACGAAGATTTCCAGATTGATTTCAGGTTGATGAATGTGTTTCCCGCCTTCCCGATTCTCGCTCGATTTGACATCCTCGTCCGTTCCGACTGCCTGTAGTTGAGACAATGCTCCCTAGATAAGTGAATGAATTAACCTCTTTCAAATCCCTCCCGTTGATGGTGGTTGACGTTGGGTGTTGCTACTGTTGTTGTTGGCTGGTTATTTTCATAACCTCCGTCTTGTTTATGTTCACATGGAGTCCTGTCTTCGCCGGCTGCTTCTTCGACCAGTTTGTCGGTTTCCGCTTGTAAGTCTTCGATTTTGTGTGAAATAAATCATCCACGCGCGAAATCCAGATCTTCTAGGTTCTTCGCGTCGGTCCAGGATATCCCTGTCTACCCGTTTCCCACTGTCTGACGCATAATCCAGTCAGTCCATCACAATTAGGAATATCATTGGTGATAATAACCCAGCACCCTTGTCTGACTTCTGTGTTTACTCCAAACGCCTCGTTGAGTTTTCCGTTGTGGATCACTTGACATGTTGTCGTACAGCTGTTAAATAAGGTTGATGAATATTTGGGGTACGCCGTAGTACTTGAGTAATTTCCAAGTCACTTCGCGGTCAACGCTACGCTGTCAAAGGCCTTCTCGAAGTCTACAAAGTTGAGGTAGAGGTTTGATTGCCATTCCATGCTTTGTTCTGTGCTGATGATGCGTAGAGTTGCAATTTGGTCAGTACATGATATGCCTTTCCTGAATGCAGCCAGCTTGTTCTGGCCGGAGTTCTCTCTCCAGAGCGTCCTTTAATCTCTCCATGATGATGCGACTCAGGATTTTACTTGGCGTCGACAGGAGCATGATTCCTGGCCAGTTCTTGCAGAGTGAGCCCTAAGTCGCCCTTCTTTGGTAGTTTCACGGGGTAACCTTTCCTCCAGTCAGTAGGCACCTTTCCCTCCTTCCAGACCTTTCACAATTGTGGAGTCAGCATGTTTGCAGTCGTCTCTGGGTCCGCTTTCAGTGCTTCAGGGGGTATTCCATCTGGTCCAGCTGCTTTTCCAGCTTTCAGAGTCTTGACTGCATTCAAGACTTCAGTTCTCGTTGGAGGACTGGTGTCAACTTGCAGTTGTGTACGTGCTGTTGTTGGTATTTCTGAACGGGTTGCAGTTAATGGTTGGTTCAAGAGTCCTTTGAAGTGATCCGCACATTGTTTAATCTGTCTTTCTTTCTTGGTAACTGGATTCCCGTGGCTGTCTTTTATAGGTTTCGCTTGTGTTGATCTCTTCCCGGATAGATATTTGGTTATCAGATATAATGCCCTCAGGTCCCTTTTGCCTGCTGCCTTCTCAGCTTCAGTGGCCAGGTTGTCGTAGAATTGTCTTTTGTCCTTCCTAGCACTCTTCTTTGTCGGGTGCTGTGTAAGTTGAGCTCAGCGTCTCCTTCTCCTGTCCGTCCTTGCATTGAGTCATTTTCTCTTTCAAGGAGAGGTAAAAATTAAGATCAAATGCATTACTGTTCATATATGTTTAGACCACATTAACTTTTAACAGTTTGAAAAAATTGGAGCATTGGGTATACGGTATACATTAAAGTTTTTGTATTTCCCGATATCATTTTGTTTTGCGTTCATTGGGAAATACAAAAACTTTTATAACGATGCAATACTATTCAATTACATCACTTCAATAAACAATTAGTTATCAAAGAAAGGACTTGAATATATTAAGAATGGCAAACTGAATAATACTCATAGTAGTGATGGTAATAATAAGTGTTAAAAGTAGGTAAGATAACTTACTGATAAAAGACATTTTAAATGAATCAGGGATACTAATAACAATAATAAAAGGTAGAATAAAGTATACTGTAAAAATATCCCTAATAATAACAGTTAATAAGACATATTACCATGGTAGATTCAGAGTGACCACCATTTCCTTGTCCCCGAATTCTAGGCCAGTTAAGGTTTCCTGTTCTTAACTAGACTAGCAACACATGACCAATACTATAAACAAACTTTATGTTTAAGATGTTTCTTAGAACATAAGAAACACCCTATCTGGTTTTTGTTTTTCCCTGCAGCTGACTAATAAAGTGGATAATGTTGTGATACTTATTTTTTAGAAAATGAAGAGTAGCATACTTAACATATTCCTTCTAAAAGCATGTATTTATAACTTTGTGAGTGCTGTATTGGTCTGTATATGAACACATTATTAGTCATTTAAGTTTATAAGATTTATAGTCTCATAATTGCAGCTGTTCTTCGTTGCTCACCTCTTTGAACTTGACCAAAATGGTCTTATTTCTTTTTCTAGTTACAATGTAAGGGTATTCCGCGTATGAATCCGACAGAGTCATCTAACTTTCAAAGATCAGCATCACTTAAAGTTATATATTTCAGCCAGTAATTCTGATGATGGGTAATTATTTGTAACAGTCATTTATAGTCTACGGGACTTAAATTTAAGAGAATAACCATCTTTGATTTGAACTCTGTGATTGAAAAGTGATTGTGTTTAGGTATATTCACTTACCATCTTCTTTGTCTTAAAGCCTGAATATCCATAATTCAATATGTTTCCCTTCGACCAATATATTTTTTGTCCTGTTTTAATAAGTACCCGTGTAACCTAGTCTAAATAACGACAGATTATTTTTTTGACATGAGTGTCATCTTTCCCTTTGACTCAACAGTTTTATGCTGTATCGTATAATTTTCTACTTTAGTGTCCGATATGTAGGTCTAAAGTGTAAATGGTAATATTTTGCAGAAGATTAGCTCAAAATGTCAAATATTTCTGAGCCGATTTGTTAAAAGTTCCTTTTTCTCCCATGCTTTAGATAACTATGTTTTGAAGCCATACACTGTATACTTGGAAGATGTGGCATATCATGCTTAGTTGCCTACCTCAGCACCAACTAGATTGAAAGTGTCAACTGTAACTCCCTAGAAAGAAATTTTATGATTAATAGCTGCTGTCCATTAAAATCATGATTTCCTCCTCTCTAATAAATAACTTAATTTAATTAGGTCCCTTTTGCATAGCACTTTCTATATCGTCGCAGAGATAGTAATAGCGAAGACGGAGAAATATTGTTAGGTGTAAAAGAATACTACACGAGTATCAATTACTTTTTTCTGAAAAATAAACGAATATACATTTCTGTACAGTTTCCCTCTGATAAATATCAGCAAGGAAAAGACAATAGGTATGTACATTTATTGTATTTTCCGAATAACCTTAAATACAATAAACAAAATCCATGTTTTTGTACTGTGTATGTCGCTTTTGAAATTCAGCATTATGTTCACGTTACAATTTTGTTTCCTTCTTACAACTAACACAATGAACTATGTAAATTAGATGATGCACAAAAGGCAGAAGCTGAGAAAATGTTATATGCCATCGAAAAATATCGTCAACAACGCATCATTGAGGATGGAACAAACGCGATTATCCATAATCCAGTTAGACCAGATCCCAAAGTTCGATTATATTTAACCCTATCAATGTTGAATTATGTTTTAGAACGAAAGCAAAAGGTAAGTGTTCGTAACTTTTAAAACCAGTCAGACTTGAATATGTTTTTTAAAAAAATAAAGCAATTCAGTTTGTGTACCCAGGACTTGGACACGAATTTCTCATTTTCACCTACAATCTGTAAGTGTTTATGAGATAGAAAAGTTGGAAAGATTTATTTCCTAATAAGAATTTAAAACAAGTAGAAAATTTTAATAAAGCAGGACTCAATAATCTATGCAGTGTTATTGTAACAACAGAAGGCAAGACACCGAAGCCAACATATATATATATATATATATATATATATATATATATATAGTTTTATATTCTCTAACCAATCATTGAGCGTGTGATTTTGGATTATATCAAACGACATGAAATAAAATGTTCAAATAGTGTTCTGTTGCTAATGCTGTATTGAACTGTGGGAATATGTGTGAACACATTGTCTGTTTACACCACCACATTAAGTGTAAGATTTTATGTACAGCATTTAGCTATGGTTTCCTCTAGCTACATTAGATGAGTACGTTAAATCTCGCTTTGTTAACATTTGTTGCTTGTTTTAGGTATATAAGTGGCAAAGTTAAACGGTTTACTTGCTACTAAGGTTACCGTTTTCAAACTCAGCAATCAATCAACATTTTCGATTGACAGTCCACCGAAATTAGTTTTATGGGTGTAATAATTCAACAAACAAATTCAATATAGGATGGTATGAGTGTAGTTTTGGGACAGAAGTGAGCGCAACGACGTGAAAAATATCAGGAAGCAATAGAGAACTTGAAAACCACTATTGTTATTATTTGCATAATAGTCCAATCTGTCATACCTTACGTAGTATATCAAGGCAGGAGGTAATAGAGGGGAAGATAAATAGGTGTAAGTGACTTAATCATGTGCTGTAGGAAAGCCGCTTTGCTAGTAGAAAATTCAAAAATGAAGGATCTATATTTCACCCCGTATGCATCTATAGTTACCTCAAGAGATCTCACATTATAAATAAAATAGTAATGATCATTATTATTATTATCTTACGAGTGCTTTTTTGAAGAATGACAGCTTGAAATAATATATTTCCTTACAAGTGTCTACGTTAGTGTTCAGTCAGTCAGTTGGCTTAAGATAAATCGTTGTGACTATTGTTCGTATCATTCGACTTTTAGTATGCTGCATGTATAGGTTGAAGTATTAACACTAATAGGAAATATTTTTAAAATCTATAAATGACAATTAAAAATAATGTTTATTTATTTATTTATTGAAGGCTATACAATATTTAGCTGAAGCTAAGGTTGCTGCTGAACACGCTCCAGAACATCCAAAAATAAAAGCCGACATCAACTTAATGGAACGTGCACTAGAAGAAAAGACTAAAACAAGTTGTATAAAGGTCTCGCAATAAGTTATACCCTTCACTCTCATTGTCTCATACTTCAACTTATGCTTCAGTGTCTTCCCTGTCCATTTATTTTCTTTCGCTTTTTAATTCCACTAATGGTTTTGTAAGTAATTCTCCTCTTATCTATAGAAATAACCTAAAAATTTTAGGAGTTTACCAAAAAAAATTGTTTGGATTTCCTGACCAATTAAATAAAAGTTGTCAATAAAATCGTCAGCAATAGCTAGAACAACAGTGACTAAGGTACAAAAACATGTCATCCACGCTGTGTTATAAACATGCCAATCGAAAGCTACAATTTATCGTTTTGATTTATAGGTGTTTTGTTTTCTGTTTTTGAAATATTTATGGTTGATATGAGAACTGTGTAATTCAAAGAAGTCGAAGAGTGAACTACAAGTATGCATTACCATAATACTACAATAGAATAAGGATATTTCACCTTATTCGAAAAAAGATTCTACTTTATTTCTTTGTATTAAGATTGTGGAAATTAACGATTTATAAAAACGTAAAGAATTTTAAAATAAAATTGTTGAGAAATAGCAATGAAAAATATACAGTAAGAAGTGAGTCATTTTAATAGTCTTACTGGTTGTGTTTTACTTTTTTGGGAAATGGGTTTGGGAAATATATTAACACCACAATGTGAAACCCTACACAATTCAGAAACAGTAAGTAAAAAGTGATATATATATATATATATATATATATATATATATACATGATACGTCAACGGGTATACAGTGTGAGAGTACAGTCACATAAAGATTAGTTAACGTGTTTAGAATTTCAACGATAAGAGATGCAGTTTCGTAGGAAAATATATTTCAGGAAATATATTTCTTTAAGACAAAAAAGAAAGAATGGTCAGTAAGGGTTAGCGTTAACCGTAAATACGATTCAGTCATTTTCAGTGTCCTTTTACTACACTTTTTTTTAAGATAGGATAAGCTTTATTCCAAATCAGTACTTGTGATACAGAATGGAATTCTCAGCATTTTACTACAATATTGCATCCAGTTAGTACATTAACAATAAATATAATTCTACATAGATTAAGGTTATTTCAGTCAGTTTTGACAACAACATATTAGCATGTCGGTAGCAAAGCCAAAATTTAAACAGAGTGTTTGAAGGTGTTAGAAAAGTATATACTACTAGCATATTTACTGGCGTAAGCGATAGCAAAATGGTCGAGATATACAGAGTGTGAAAGAACGAACAAGAATGTTTTAAGTAGAGTTTGTAAGGAAGAGAGAAACAAAACAACACATAACAAAAAAAAGGTAGAGAGAAAACGTTGTACCTGTAAATGATGTGAGTTGGAAAGACGAGATCCATTTGTTCTACTGACTATTTAATAAGTTAAAGGTTTCACGCCTAATGCTTTCTTTATCGCACAGAACACGAGCTAGGTAGGGTATGGATGAGTTTTTGTACTTACTAGTGCGGGCATATAGTTTCCTATATAGGCTTCTGGTTTTCCCTGAAGAGATACATGGGGAGAGTTGTGAATGTAGAGGGTGTTGTGAGTCAGATAAAATGGATTTCGCCCATTTTTCACATGAGTCCATGTGCCTGTCCACCAGAATATTAACAAGCTGGCTAAGTGGCAAACTGCTTACCCTGCTGACAACCTTTAACATCCTACGTAATAAGGTATAGTCTTTCTTCAATAGCCCAGGAAAGACTAAGGGGGAACAATAGAGAATAATAGGCAGAATACGGAAGTTAACAAATTGTAGGAGTAAGGGTTGGGTTACACCAGAATGTCTTAACTTCTTGATGTAGAAGGTAAGACGGAATATTTTCTTGGAAATCGTCAAGATATGAGACGACCAGGAAAGATCAGAAGATAGAGTGACGCCTAGGTATTTAATTTCCGACTTGGTTTCAATTTCAGTGCCATCTATGTTGCACACCTCGTGAGTGCTAACCAGTTTGTTTAGGTCAGATTTGTGCCTAAAGGTGAAATTAACTGTTTGGCATTTGGAGGGGTTTAAGGTGAGACCGTTTTCCTTGGACCATTGGCTGATTTCTGATAAGAAGCCATTTAGTTTAGAGCAGTCACTTTGACATTTGACAGGTAAAGATACAGTTAGGTCATCAGCATATTTGACAAAGTTAATGTCATTTGAAGATGGTAGGTCATGTAGAAAGAATGAAAAGAGAAGTGGGGAGAGTACAGCACCTTGGGGGACACCAGCTTCAGTGAGCACAGCAGAGGAGGATTCGCCTTTGTATACGGTGTACTGCATTCTGTTTGAAAAGTAGGAATGCAACCAGTTAGTGACCCAGGACTCGGTTTGTGTCATGGAGAGCTTATTTAGCAAGAGACATCTAGGTACAGAGTCGAAAGCAGAAGTGAAGTCAAGAAACGTGCAGCGGACATATTTGGCACCTTTGTCTAATGATGAGACAATACTGTTGTGTAAGACGGCTGCAGCGTCTAAAGTACTCCTACCCTGTCTGTAGGCAAATTGTTTGGGGTCTTCGAAGCTTTTAAGGGAGGGTTCAAGTTTAAGAAGTACTAGTTTTTCCATGAGCTTTAGAAACGGGGAAGTGATGGCGATGGGTCTGAACTTTACGTTCTTGCTATTGCCAGGTTTAGGGACAGGGACTATTTTAATGTCTTTCCATGGAACAGGTACAACGTTTTCGGAGAAAGAAGCATTTAGGATATTAGTTAGAGGAGACATAAAGCATCTGCACATTGTTTTAGAACATATGCAGGTATGCCATCAGGGCCAAGACTATGTGAGGGCTTAAGAGTTTTAAGACATTTCAAAACATCGAGAGTACTAAAGTCCTGGAAGTTATCAGCTACAAGATTAGTAACGTTAGAAGTGGTTATAGTAGAAGGAGAGCGTATAAAAGACAGATTAAGAGCATTAACATCACAAGAGGGAAAAACATTACATCGCTTACTATTGCCAGTAATTTCATTGAAAAATTTCCACATGCTGATAGGAGATTTGCATGATAAAAGTGTTTGGTTATAGATATCAGTGCGTCGGTGGCACAGTGGTTAGGACTCTCGCCGACCATGCACATGGTCCGGGGTTCGAGCCCTCACCGACGCACACCTGATATCTATGGTTGGCCTGCGAATTTTGGGCTACCGATATCCACGCTGAAAATTCCACACTTGTACCAAAAAATACGGTGTGGAATCAAGCTGTAACCATAAAAAAAAAATAAAATAAAAAAATTTTTGATTTCAGATTTGATTTGAGCATTAATCTTTTTAAGTCCTAACTTGTCTTTGCTTTTATATAACATTTCTTTTTGCCTGCGAAGTTGTTTGAGATGGGGAGACGAGAAGCGGTCGAGGCGTTTGAACAGTGTTTGTTTGGGACAGCATATGTCGAGGCAGAACTTGAGATAATCCATTATATTGGTGATTGAGTCATCTAGTGTACTTTCATAGAATAGATCCCAGTTAGTATCTTTTAACATGCATCTTAGATTGAGTAGGTTGTCAGATGTATAGCTTCTTTGTTGTGCTATCGTAGACAGGTGTGAGAAGATTTTAATATGTGTTTTGCTGTATATTTTTGGCAAAACGCGGACAATGCAGTGATCTGAGTTAAGTATCGGTGAACGTCTACGTGTTTCATATACTCTTTCGTCATTAGTAAAAACTAGATCGAGTGTTTTGTCAAGTCGAGTGGGAAATTTGACTATGTTTGCGTGATCAAGAGCTTCAAGAAAGGAGCAATCTGAGACGGAGAGCAGCTAGGAGAAATGTACATGTTTGTAATATAGATTTGTTTATATTTGGGGCGACATTTGACAGTAATGCAGTCAATGAAGTCATTTGAGAAAGGTGAAGCAGACGTTATTTGAGACAGACCATTTAGAGTGAATAAAAGTTGCAACGCCACCACCATTTTTCTTATTACAGCATTGACGGTCTTGACGAAATAAAATAAACGCCCTAGTTCTACGTTTTGTTGGCACTATTTTACTATTCATTGGAATGACTGAAATACAGTAAGTAAAATTTTTCAAATTAATTGGCATTCATTTTGAGGTAATCAAGTTCATAAAATCTTCAATCTGAATGTATTCTAAGCAAGCTGTAGTGAACGTTAGTTATTCCGTAGTATAAGATCAGTTTACATGATTTTATGAGGCTGGAATTTAAAATCAAACGACTTTAAGCATAAGTGGAAATCAGAGAATAAATGTTTAATTAATGTGTTAGCATATAAAAGAGCTTCAACTCAATGGACTCATGTTTACAGGTAATATGATCATCTGCAGTTAAAGAAAATGTACACTAACTTTGAGATACACACTTAAAGACAAATGAATAATCCACAGTTTTCGGGTTACCGGTTCGTTTTATACATTTTCCACTTATGTGAAGTAGAGATACGTATCTATCGTCTTATCACATGTTGACTTATCGTAAAGGTACTAGTTAACGTCCTTGTGTGGCGCAAGTTTTTTTCTCACTTCCGATAATCACTTCATTACATTGAGTTACTCTTCTACACTACGCATACATGGTGCAGTTAATTATTCATTTCAAATTCAAAAATACTATTATTAAGCGTAGACATATATTTTAAAACAAAAGAATATTGTCTTTACATCTTCGTTGAATATATAAACTAAACACTTTCAATTAATCGTTCACTGACTGGCACTTTAACAGAGGCTGACACTATTGAACTAGAACTCCTGTTATTGACAATAGAAACCTGGGAAGGAAAACAAAAAGAGAAACTGTACTAAAAAGCTGAAATGAAAGAGAAAATTCACTTAAAGAACAATATTAAGAAGGCGATTTAGAATGTTTTCTAGAACATATATGCAAAGTTATACGCGTTAGTCTGTCTGCCTAGCCCTAAATGTTGAACGAGTGTGCATTGCGGGCAATACACTAAGTTACATGACAATGTATAACAAGAAACTTTTGTCTAAGCATTGAATATTGGAAATTAATTAAGACAGACTACCCAATCTAGTTTGCCTACTTGCTGGAACTTATTAGTGAGATATACTGGTAAACTTAAGGAAACTGAGTTTTTCCGTTCCCGAACTCTACGTTACTAATTGAAGGAGTCAGAGACTCTACGACTAAACGATACAGGTAAAGAATGAACCTATAAGAAACCAGACTGTATACAGATTAGTCATTAGTGTAGCTGCCTGTTTCAAAGTAAAAGGTGTTTTGAAGTATGGTTCACGTTACACGTTTCAGGCTTTAGTTAGAATTGTTTCATCTAACAAATAATATTTTGTCATATTGAAAAGAAACATAAATAACCAAGAAAGCTGAACTTCTAAACACTTAGTAAAATTGTTTGCTAAAAACGGCTGTTGTCATTATAAGAAATATACCTGTTTCGATTATACATTTTACTTCTTTTACTATAATCTAGAGTGAAATAATGTTAACATTCGATAGCACTGTTACACCCTTCCTAAGAGTAATTACACAGAGGGTTATGTATGTTTAAATGTTAATTAACGAAATAAAAAATATATTCCAATGCAACAAACCTTTATTTCCTCTTCAACGAAGGTTTCACG